ATTCTACAGCAGATATTCGATATATAACTTGGGATGGTCATATACAAGACATATGTAAAAAAATTGAATATGGCCTGCTATATGATAAGAAATGTAAAACAAATGGTCTTCATGAAAACATTAAAAAGTGTTTATTTTTCATATTTCCATTCCTTCATGTCATACGGTATAATGTTTTGGGGTAACTCGTTTTATGCCGAAAGAGTTTTTAAGTTGAAAAAGAGAGTAGTAAGAATAATGAAAGAATGTGGCTTGAGAGATTCATGTAGAGGACTTTTTAAGGATATGAATAATTTCCTTTAAGAACAATATATATACACCTTGATGATGTTTGTAGTAAAAAACAGAAGAATATTTGATACAAACAAAGCTCACTATGAAGTAAATACTAGACACAATATGGATATACATATGACCCACGTTAATTTGGCGATATATGGAAATGGGTTGTATCATATGGCTGTTAAAATATACAATGCACGTCCTGATACACTTAAGGATATTTCTAATGATATAGAAAGGTTTAAGGGCAAGTTAAAGGAATTTTTGTATTTCCTAATCCTTCCAGCTGCACTAGGCCCTGGGGTTTACTCAGCCTCTAACAGAAATGAGTACCAGGAATTAATGAAATAATTTTCCTGGGGAGTAAAGTGTGGCCAGCGCATAAGCCTGACAACCTTACTGCCATCTTTGAGCCAAGTGTCTAGACAATGTGGGACCCTCAACGTCTCACAACCCTATGGGCCTTCACGGCCTGGTACAGGGAGAGCTTTACTTTACTTTACTTTTAATTCTTTTTATATATTGGAAGAATTTTTTCTGAGATAATGCTTGTATAATTATATTATATTGAAATTTTAACCAATATGTTAGTTGACTAAGATTTTTTGTAAATAACTTCAATTATCTGTTATAACAGATCTCATTTGATTATACCGTTTTAAAGTTGTAAATATTATTATTTGTATTCATTATTACTTTTATCTTATATTGTAAATTGGTTACTGTAATACAACTAATTTTATTCAACTTTCAAACTTGTCTTATATTATAAACTGATTTTTAAATAACTGTCGTATTGTATAAGCATGATTAGTAAATAATATTTGGACTGAATTTTTTATCTTAAAATTGTCAATATCTTACTTATTATTTTCAAGATAAATTTTTATGTGTGATTTAAATCTTGTATACTATTAACTTGTTATTTTGACAACTGCTTGATTTCTAAGCATGATGAGTTTATATTTCTGGACGATTTCAATGTCTGTTGGTTTTTTCAACCCTGTAAGGATTTTATGGAATGTGAATAAATGAATGAAAATTAATCGACACTTGCTACTAGTGGGTAAATTATAACCTTCGCGTTTAAGCTGTGTATTTCTGGATTCAGATGTTGGTACACGACGGAAAGTGGTTAGCGATGGCGAGCGTGGCGAGGGTGGCCGGCGTTGTTAAATGGACGTTAGTTGTGAGTGGTGATTAGCCAGTATAGTTGTGATCGTTGTGAGGTTAGGTTGTGTAGGGCAGCAAACATCTAGAACGTGTAGAATTTGGTTGTATTAGTTAAAATCGACATGGCAGTCGATTTAGAAGAACGAATGACACAACTTAACAGGTTGAATGACTTCATTGATAACTCACGGAAAAAAATTACAACCATACTAAGCACCCTAGGTTGGGATGAAGGCAACATAAGACAGAAAGTATGTTAGGCCTTTTTGCGTTTTTTATGTGTAAATCTGTTACATAATTTCACTTGTCGTTGCTAGTTGGTTTATGATATCACTTCCACGTACAGTATGCGGTATCAGTTAAAGAATTTTAAGGTTTGGAGAACCGTGTTTTTATGCACAGTCAAAATGTTGTGCTCACCACGTTGTCTGTGAATGCAGTTTTTCAATATTTATAATATTATAATATAAACATTTCACCCAACCAAGTTGTGTCCAGTTTACCTCAAAATTTTCCAGAGATTTATTTCACATATTGTTTGCAATTAGGGTAATCCCATGGAGGATATCTTGAAATAGATGTAATTATTATGTACCATTTCTCGTTAAAACTGCTGTTGCAATGCCTCCAATTGCAAGAACAGGAAAGATATAAATAAATATAGAGATGAACTATGAAGTCTTTACATGCAGGCATGTAGTTATTTAAAATTAATATAATGTAACATGTTGGTGACCAGACGTGGGGTTTTGGTTGTTGATTGGATTTATTGAACATATGTAACTCACAGCAACATATAATTACAACCTTATCGCTACCCCTACCTCAGTGTTCATTAGTTGCAGCTGACTGCATTAATTTTGAGACTCCTCCAGAGTTCAAACAAAGTCAGAGCATAAGAGCTCTCTCCTTTCTAAAAGAAGCCTAGAATATAATGTTCCAGTGTTGCTTTGATACGTTTAATATTTTTCCATTAGAAGTGACCCTATATTGCAACTTTTGGATAATATTGCTATAGTTATTAGAGGTAAAAGCTTTGTTAATAAAGTCTATAAGTCATTATACAAGTCTGCTGACTTTAAGGTGTAGCCAGGATGGCTCATAGCAACTAGGCTACAGACCAGATGACTGAGGAATTATTGGGGCTCAGTTTCTAGTAGGGACAGGAGAATTTTCTTTTCTATAATTTCCAGACCAGCTTTGAGGTCCACCCAGTCTTCTGTACAATGAGTACCAAGGGATGTTTTCCCAGGAGTAAATTGGCAGGGGCATCTGACCACTGACCTCCATTTAGGGCTGAGGTTAAGAGTGTTGGAGTTATATCTCCAGTCGGCCGCGCCATAGCTCAAGCGGTTAGTCGCTGGCTTCCAACCACGGTGGCCTGGGTTCAATCCCAGGTCTGGTCAAGTGGGATTTGTGGTGAACAAAGTGGTGCTGGGGCAGGTTTTCTCTGAGTACTTTGGTTTCCCCTGCCAATCTTCATTCCACCAGTTGCTCCACAATCACCCTTACCTAATATCTGGGGCTGGTACAATAGGCCAGAGTGGCCGCAATACAAGGGATTTAGACCCACCCCGCTAACAATAAAAAAAAATAAAATATACGTACAGTCCCCCATATATCTTCACAACATGGAGTTTAATTAAGCCCGGGGATAACTTTACCTTGTTCTTACCAACTTCCAGGTGGTTGTATTGGTAGCATTCCTGCTTTATATTCAGAAAGTCCAGATTTCAGTTCTTGGCCTTGAGGTTAGCTATCCTGAAGTTTTTCATGATTTTCTGTAGTCCACCAAGGCAAGTGTGTGAATAGTAGACCTACCTTAAAATAGTCCAGTATAACTTCCTTTTGCATCCTCTTTTTTTCAGTGGTGCCTACATTGCCACTGTATAACCCAAGAGATCAAGATAGCATCATTAAATAAATTCAGAAAGAAAGTATTTTGTTACAGGCTGTGTTGTAAGATAACTTACTAACTGTTAAAGAACAAGCTGGCCATCAGTGTAAATAACTTTTACTGAAATGTTAATAAAATCAGGTTACATGTTTCAGTGCTGTAGGATCATTTTCAGAGACTCATGCAATAAAAGGAGGTTGCTAACATGTACATTTGTAATTATATTTGAAAGTCTTAAAATGATACTATATATATTATTTTTCCTGAGTTCAAGAATAAACTGTGGTGTTTGTTGTTCACTCTTCAGGAATGTTATTGTTTTCACATGTGCTTCATATGAAGTGTTAATTACTGCTTACTGATTTATGAACTGTTTATAAACCCTTACATTTAAACATATTAAATTGTTGATAACCTTTCACAATACATATAAATGTATCAATCCTATAACATTTAAATTTTATTCCTTTTCCCATCAACACTGTGTAATTTATAAGCTGAAAAAACCGTACTTACATAAACTAAGGAGCATAAAATAGTCTTTCATAGTACATTTACCACTACAAACAAAATTGGGCATCTTTCTTCATTGTTCTATTATTTAGACTACAAACAAAATTGAGCATCTTATTTTACAGTTGTATATTTTTTATTTTAGTCTAGAGAAATGGTCACCTGCCCGCTAAACAGTGAGCATTATGTCCCAGCAGATAACTTGGAGAAACATGTCACCTTATGTTCGTGGAGAATGGAAGGTTATAGTGAAGAAGACATTCCTCTTCCAGAAAGCTGTGGGCCTGGTGAATCTGGAATAGCCATAGGTATTTCATATCTAGAATATACATTGTATGATTCAACTATGTACCAAGTGTATATAACGGAAGCAGATTAGCTCTAAATATTCACAGTGTAACAGTATGCAGGGAGCCATTTCAGGAAGAAAATCAGTGTTTTGTCATCTGCAAATAACCTGACATGCTGTGGATAATTGCCCAAGACATACATATGAGGGTGTGCTTAATCATAAAGCCCTCCATGCTGCAAGCTTCTGTAACACATCCTGGTCATCTGTGAGACCTTGTCCTCTACCTGTCCAACCATTCATGCTTGGAAAAGAGTTCTGAAGATTCTTTCATCCCCCCACCCACACGTGTACATGTGCATAGACACATAAACAGAGCCCTTGATATCCTTCAGATGTGTCCGTGAGAAGGTTCAGTATGTACCTAAAGCTAAGCACATGTCATGCGACACTTTTGTCTCTAGTATTTTCCACTACGCGGTTGGATATCATGTAGAACCAAGTATACCACATACCATATAAATGGCTCAGAATTATGTGCAGTTGTGATCTTTATTATTAATGGTGTTGGACCATTTGTTTCTGCCAATAGAATATTACATTGACATTCAGTATTGTTGGTGATGTTGTGTAATATGGTTATTACTAGCAGTAAGTAAAAAAAATAAATAAATAAAGCTATCCCTGTAACAGTCCATGAAGGCCCATAAGGTTGTGAGACGTTGAGGGTCCCACATTATCTAGACAGTTGGCTCAAAGATGGCGGTAAGGCGGTAAGGCTGTGAGCCTTACGTGCCTGTCGCACTTTACGCCCCAAGAAAATTATTTAATTAATTCCTGGTACTCATTTCTGTTAAAGGCTGAGTTGACCCCAGAGCCATAGTGTGGCTGGAAGGATTAGGTCAATTGAAAAAAATCCAATGACCTCATCGGGACTTGAACCCGCGACCTTCTGGCTTGTAGCATAATAAACATGTTAATTGATCTGGAAAGTTTGAAACAAAATGAGAACGACTAAAATAGGGTGTTTCCATCCAATTTTGTTTGTGTTTTCGAATGTATATGTGGTTATAGCAAGTTGTCTCACTTTTGTATCATTTGTGAAGGAATTGTGTCCTTTCAGATAAAGAAATGAGGACTGCAATAATCAGAGAGGCTGCTATGCAGGATCCAAAGATGAAGACAGGTAAGAGTTTTAAGCAGCTTTATTCTGTTAAGACTTCTTGCACTAAGTAATTATAATACCTTATAATATTGTTGCAGACATTCTAACCAAGTGTATATTTTATATATTTCATGCACTCCATTCTTACATACGAAAAGTGATATGTGTAAAAAATGTTACCACAACCCTGAAAGGGATAGCAGTATGTATGAAGTCCAGTGTGAACAAGTGGGAGAACATCATATTTGGCATATTTAAGAAAGAATCACTCCTATCATAATTACCAGTCCTATGTTATGTCATTACATTACAAATGCAAAACAAAATTCTGTGTGGCAGGAAAGAAATATAGTGGATGGACATATATATTTAGTTGAAACAGTTATTGAAGAAATAGTCTATGAAGATATGAACTGAACGAACACAGTAATGAACCTCTGGTTACCATAAAGATAGAGAATTTCATGCTCAGCCAACTAACTTTCAGCTTTCAGGAAATATGCTATATGAAGGAGTTCATTAGTTTGAATAAGGTTTTTCTGTTTTCATCGTCATGAAGATTCAGATTGTAGACTTCTACTGTTACTTCAGAGGAATATGCTGCCTCCACTTCCATCCTGAAGATGGTTGCAGTATGTTGCTCCAAAACATTGGTACCCACCTGCCAGACTACATGATGTCATAACAGAAGACCACAATATGAATAAATTTAATTCATTTGAGTTCTGTTTTGGTTTATTGACATTATGTAGTATGGGCTGCCAATTTACTGTCATGATTATTATTGGAGAGACATTGAGAGGAGGCTTTGAGGTTAAGTATACTGTGAGTGGTTTTGCAAACAGTTGTTTTGTCTTCATATCTGAACAACTTCTTTAAAAATTTGTCTTGATAAAATTTATTTGGATGACACACTTGTGATTACTGGAATTTAACAATGAGGAGGATTATGTAACAGTTTGAGATGATCCATGGAAATTGGCATTTATTTTATGTGAAAATTGTTCATTTGTATTAGGTTCTGGTTTGAAACCTAAGCATTAAGTCATAGAGATATGTTAATTAGTGTATGAATGAAGAGTACTAGCTTCTGGGATGAAACACTGTGTAATCCAGAAGAAGTTTTTAGAAATGCCTGTGGGCTATTACTGGACTACATTGCATTGCATCTCATAAGATAAAACTTTTCATAGTCACTGCCCGGAGAACTTCAAATCCACAAGATTATGAATGTTCATGTGTATATTTGAGGAAGACTCATGTTTGGGCTTTCAGAATGATAACATCTGTATCAAAATGCCATGCATTTACCTACAGAAGTAGTTCTTCATACATTTGTTAAAAATATGTTAAAACACAAATGTGTCTGTTCTGTTGCACAATACAAAAACTTCACAAGTGTATTTTTAATTTTCAGAATTTAAAACTGTTATAAATTTGTTGTACTGCCTATTATTACAGCAAAGATATTTCATTTTGTTAGTAAACTTGGCGCATTCATGCTCACATAACAGTAGTGATGAAGAGTACAAATTGTGAGGCTCCTCGTAATGCAACTTTCTCTAGTCCTCTGTTACTTACTCCCACTCATGTTCTTCTGAGCACTCAGTTCTCAGATAGCCCCAATCTGTGTTATTCCTTTGTTGTGAGATTCCAGGTTTCATGCTTTTATAAACCATCAAAATAATAGCAGAAGACTAAGGGAAACTGTAATTCAGTATGGATATGAGGTAATCCATCTGACTAATAAGCTGATAAGGTTACTTAGAATATCATTTTTACCTGTGTCGTGATTTTTTTATATTTTTAAAGTGGAGAATTATAGAGAGAGGCATTGAATAAAGTAATAGTGGTACACTAGTATTGAAGGTTGTGTTGGTATGGTTTTAATGTGAACAGATTTAAAAAAGCCTTTTTGGCTTTACGTATATTGTACTTTTGATGTATAAGTTTTGAGGGTTCTGCTGTTTGCATTAATAAATTAGATGTGTGTAGCACACAGTTTTGTTTCATAATTCCTTATTTGTGGCTGACAGTTCTGTTTTACTTTTTCAGCTGGTTGTCTGTGAGTATATTTGGAGTATTGTAACTATACATGCTGGTATCCTTTTTGTGGTATCCTTTGTTGTGGAATTAAAGGTTGTAAAATGAAACTGTAATGAAAGGAGATGAAAAGCTGTATTACCAAGTGCATAGCATAAAGGTGTTTATTGTATAATTTTGTTAACTGTATAATTTATAATGCACGGAGAATATGTCGTATCATATTCCTCATAACATGTTGGTTGTCACTTATTGATAATTTTTCATGGGACACACGCAGTATGGAAACTGGTGTAATTCTGTTTTACTGTGTAAGCAGATATGGGAATGTAATGTGTGCAGAGGAATTGTTACACTCTAGGAAGAGATACAAAGAAATGCAGGCAGATGAATGTATCCTTTTCCAGATATGATTAAATGCCTGACAGTGTTAACTTTTTAGTCAGTGCGGGGAAGTGCAGAGCTCTGCTAATGCCACAGCTTGTCCACAAAGAAGGGGGTGAAATCATCATTGGGGGTGCTCTCATAAATAAAATATGATTATATTATGTAATGTAGCTGATGTTCCTACACTGTACTTTTATATAACAATGGAAAACAAAAACTGCAGATTTCTTTATAATAAAAATTATCTAATCTTTTCTGTACCCAAACACCACCTGTGTCATCAGTGTCTTGATTGGAAATGAACAAATCAATGGTGTTGCTAGAATCACTTTCAAAATCAACCGCACCAAACTTGGTTATGATTTCGCAGAATTTGTTTGTGGGAAGTATTAAATTTGATGACATTCCAGTTTTCATTAAAATTGGACAGTGCGCATGAAGACCTATGTATGGTTCTGCATGCATCATGAGCATAACTAATTATCAAGGAAAAATGTTGTAATCAAATGCAGAGAAAAATGAACAGTCATTTTACATCCAGTGCATTTCTTGCATGCGTCTTACAGTTCTTGAAACAGTTTGACCAATAGGATGATATGTGTATTTCAAAACTTCTGTATTCATCAGTCTCCCAGACACACCTGAAGATTACCAAAGTCTTTTATTTTCCATAATAATTAATTGAAGCTTTCTTCCATCACACTTCATATGTCTGCATGTATATAAATGTATATCTAATTAAAATATGATTGATTGTACTGCTGAAGTCTTGTTCTTGATCATAATAGGTCAGTCTTCACAAGAAAAATGAGTCAGTTGTTTCAGCAAAGATCACAGATAAGAAAAAACCTTAAAGTATTTTGAGTTCATGCTGTTATGAAATCATGTTTATTTTAGTCTTTTAATGTAGTGCACTATTACAGTACAAATTCAAAGCATATATTAATGATTTACATATATGCACAAGTATAAGTATATATTTAATATGTCATAATAGTAAATAGTGAAGCTGTAATATTGATAGGCCTGTTCATTCAATATAATTTTCACTTTTTGCAGTTTTGAATAATTATCAAATAACAGTGATTACCTGCATATAAATTTAACATTTATTAGAAAAAAGAGTTGGTAGTCTTAATTATTCACTTAATCAAGAGTAATGCCCTCCATAATTATATTATACCAGTTCTCATTTTCATATTATCTGCCTTCTCATTTGCTGCAGTGTCTTGGTTTTCGAGTAGCTACAGCAAAACACACTACTTTATGAATTACTGTAAAATGTGTAGAAACACAGTTCAGTGTAATGTTACAGAACACGTAATACTCATGCCACTGCAAAATGGCTGCTAAGCACTATTGCATTTATAGTTATCCTTAACTTCTTCAGTTGCATCATGGCAAGTATAGCCAGACTTATCATGTTTCAAGCTCCCTGGTATGGCTAATTGTCGTTGCTCATGAATCCCATCAGTATGATGTACAATATACAAGGTGTATGCATGAAATGTATAAATTTTATGGTGACACTAGTCATCATCTGAAAGGCACAGGAAAGAAACTGAAATGGATTTGAGTAGGTTATATGACATATACATGCCACCTGAGTTTCAGAATCTTTCCACATGATGTTCTGCACTCACAGGTGTGAAAGTGGCATCTCAGTTAGAAAAAACTAAATGCATGCTTTTGTAAGTTTGTCTGCAGTTATGGTGCAGACTGTCTGTCATATGGTTTTTGGAAAGGAACCACCAGTTCACAGGTTCAAGTCCCGATGAGGTCATTGGATTTTTTTCAATTGACCTAATCCTTCCAGCCGCACTATGGCCCTGGGGTCAACTCAGCCTCTGACAAAAATGAGTACCAGGAATTAATTAAATAATTTTCCTGGGGAGTAAAGCATGGCTGGCGCATAAGGCTGACAACCTTACCGCCGTCTTTGAGCCGATGGTCTAGATAATGTGGGACTCTCAACGTCTCACAACCCTATGGGCCTTCACGGCCTGGTACAGGAATAGCTTTACTTTTTTTACCACCAACAAAAGTGTTGATTTATAAGTGGCATAAATTGTTTCATCAGACTGACTGGCTGCTTTTGTAAAGCATTAAACCCTGGGAGATAACCCGATCATGAAATGTCATTTGCCTAAATGTTACACCTGTGTTGATACATACAAAAATTCTGGTTTTCCAGAGACATATATTATACTAAACTTGGACATTGCCCATTAAACACAATAATTCAAGAACTGGATTTGTTTCCATCATCAGGTTTAAAGGGGGCAAATGACCCTACTCTGTTGGGCCCATTAGGAACAGTCCAGGTTTATAATTGGACAGTCTGAAAAACCTCCTTAATAATAGAATCGCGTATGACCTTGGTATGTTTTCATTTGAAACAGGTTTCAAATTCTGCGTACAAATTATTACTGTGTGTGCTTGCTTGCATGGTCATTTTTATGAATTTATTTATTTATTCATTCTTCTTTCTTTAATTTAGTAGGCCACTGAAGTATCATGCACAAGTTTTGGTGAGAGGGCTTAACTCTTCCACACAGAATAGAACAGGCCTTCTGCTTATTATTTCATTTTGCATTGTTTTTCTATTTATTTTTGCGACCGGAGAATTTATGATGAAGGTAGGTTTCAGTTTTAGACGGGTCTTAGAGTATTATTTATTTATGCATTTTTAATGAGACTTTCAGCAGCATTGAATGACAGAATTATTATTTAATGTTGAATGGGCAAGGATGTGCAAGGAAATGGCCTTGGCCTAATTTGAGGCACTGTTCAAGCATTTGCCTTGAGAGAGTAATAAGAACCATGAGAGAACCTTAGGCAGGATATCCTGTCTCCAGGCCAGAAGGATCTCTCAATATGAAGCAGGTGCGCTATCCACATGACCCTTACATTCAATAGTATTGCTGTTATTTTATTTCTGCTAATATTAGTAATTGACACAGGTATTCCTGCTGTGGGATTTGATGATCGTCCAATTCCCAAAACCATGGATAGGATTATATGTGATTTCACACCAGATGAGAGAAGAGTATTGTATGATTTTGCTGTATCAAAGACAGGAGCACCACCAGTAATGAAGGTGGAGGAACTTCATATGCCGTAAGTATATGAGAAACATGTGTAAACATTCTCTATATACACAATTTTGTGCTGTTGTAAACCATTATAATACTTTTTATTTTCCTTATTGGAATACCTCCCTGTCTGTGAGTGGCTTTTATTGTAAACGCTTTTGTAATTATCAGTTTTATTTTAGTGTCATTAAGAGCATTGTATGTGTAAAAGAAAGGCTGACTTGGACTATGCAAAATACATAATGGGAAAGACATTTTCATATTTCATAGTTGTACATGTGTGTGTGAATATAACTATGCCATTAGTTTTTGTTCTCCCTCTTCTTTTAGGACTGTATGTTTGGAACTCATTCTGCAGTTCAGAAATTAATTGTTCCAACTACTTCTGTGTCTTCCTATGTCACGTTTTCCTCTCAGACCATATGTGTACACCATTTTAAAGATCTTCTGTTTTCACCTGTCTACATAATGTATTGAATAAGCAGTCACATACAACCAGCAAGGGGCAGTCCTCCCAAAAGTTGGGCAGGGGATTAAATACCCATCACCATATGGAAACTAATGTTACAAAATGTTACCCAAAGCCTGGAACTTGGCTTACTATATGGCACATTGTCAAGCTCTTGTGAACATGGTAATTAAGTTCCATGAAGTAAGTTGGAAACTGCAATATAAACATTGTTACACAGGTTAAGTTTACCATGCTAAAGGGTTTGATCATGTATAAATTACTAGATAATTTATTTAATGGTGCTTCAAGTAGCTCACACTGTATAGCATCAGATGGTAGGGTTATTACTGAATGATGTGGAAGGAAGCAGTTGTGGTCCACTTTGAGATACTGTTCTGGGTTTCACCTGAAGGGTTTGAGGAAAAGCAAAAAAGACCTCAGAATGGTTTGTGACCCAGCTGAGATTTGAACCAGGCAGCACCCATATGCAAGTCAGAAGATTTACTGTCTGGGCCAACTTGCTAGATATAAGTGACTATTAATGATTGTGTAGAAATACAAGGAACACAAACCAAATGATGTAGTTGAATGGTGAGCATTTCTTCCTGCACTTTGTACTCTGATTTGATTCTTAGCCTAGAGGCTAGATATTCTGACTGATTTTTCATGGCCTTCTTCAGCCCTTCCAAGCAAATGTAGGCATATTACTTTAAAATAGCCCATGGTAGCATTCTGCCTCATGATTTGAAATATGCAGTTGTCCTTTTTTCATTTGAAGCATTGTTAATGAAGAAACAAACAACAGATACAGGTTATTAAAAGGTAAAAGTCTTCTGTATCACAGGCATTGCTTAACTTGAATTCCATTGCCCTGTCTCTGGTGGCTGGTTCGTTATGTGAGAATTTTTTTAAATTCATTGTACTCTTGATGTATTATGTTTGATCAGGCACAATTCATTTAAAAGCTTAATTTCAGATTACAAAAAGAAGAACAGAAACGTCCTAAAACTTTTATAGAGCGCCTTGCAGAAGAGCGGGATGCAAAGCGACGCAAAGTGAGCAAGAAAGTTCACACCAATCGCAAAAGTTACACAGAGGTATGTATTGACTCTTGTGGCATATTTGGTGTCCCCTTGAAAGCGGTAGGGTTGCTTCGCCATCCTGAGATATACAAGTGAATGCCAGGATAGTTGTACTAGTATAAAATATGTTTTGTCCTGTCATTCCAGATTCTTTACTTGTGATATTTTGGAAGATAAAGACCACATTCAAGTATAATTAATGGCCAGTCTTCATTAAGATGTGATAAATCTGATTGTGTTTTATCTGAGGTCAAGTTGTGGGATGTATGTAGTTTTGACATGAGGTGTATACTTTGTATCATCATGTTTATATTTAGTTGAGACATGCAGATTTAAGCAGAATATTGTATGCAACATCACTTATATAACCGTAAAAGTTTCCTTTCCCTAACTCATAATAAATACTAATTTGTGTTTGCAAGAAACCAAATAATCCTAATGATGGACACCTGAGTCAGATTTTAAATTATCTATATAATATGTTGATTTTTTTAATAAATGTTTTGAGTAAACCAACTTGCCTTTAGAAAAAAAATTGTACTCCAGATGTCTAGACCTCAGACTCCATCAGAAAATAGTATCAGGGTTAATATTGTATATTTGGCTTTTCTTCTTTTGATTATCTTTCTCGTAATTAACCATGAATGTTGGTAATATTTAGGGCACTGGTTTACTTGATAATTTTTCTTTCTAGATATTGCGGGAAGTGCTACAAAACCAGATGGAACTGTATGAAGATTTTCTTAAACAAGAGAATGAAGAATTCAAATTTGATACTGCTAGGAAAAGCCGCAAAGAATATGATATTGACCATGACCTACTGGACAGTGAGAGTACATCCATTGTTGCATGTTCATCAAAGAAGGATTCCTTACGGTATAAGGAAAGGACTAGAGACGACCAAAAAGATTTTAAAAGACATGGACACTCCCAGTCTCTGTATAGGACTCAAACCAAACCTGGCAGAAGTCATTTGAAACATGAAGATTCACATCACTTTCAGCAAGATAGGTGGCAAAGAAAGTCAGAGTATGATAGAGGAGATGGTGGTACTTCTCATAAGAGTAATAGTTCTCATAGGGATAGGAGTAGTAGTACTCACAGGGATAGGAGTAGTAGTTCTCACAGGGATAGGAGTAGTAGTTCTCACAGGGATAGAAATTCAAAGAACCTGTCAACTACAGTGCGTGAAACCAGTGAAAGGCATCATAAGAGTAAGTATACCCACTCTCATAGACGAGAAGAGTTCGGTAAATTTAAGAGGAGACACAGGACTCATTCCTCATCAGACAGTAGTAACAGCAGTGAAGATATTTTTCACAAGAGAAAGAGGAGTAGGGATGCAGAATTTCATATGGCCCAGATGTAAATCAAGGAGCTATACAGTCACTTTCAGGTCTTCAGAGATATGCCAAGAATATTTATTATATTTTATATATGTCACATGAAGGTGCATATTGTCTTCTTAATTCTTCATATGAATGGATGTCCTGCTGGAACTAAATGGTATTTATTTCCATTATGGGACAATGTATATTTCAAACTCAGCTTTCAGGTGTCAATAAATAGGCTCCATCCTTTTATATCGTGTCATTGGACAAGGGATTCCATGAGAGAGTCCACGTTACTACAGCACATTAAATTACTTTCATGAGAAAATAAATGGTAACAGGAAGTTTTGAGGAGAACTAATCAACTGCTTTCCTTTGATACAGTATCAACCTCATAGAAAACAACACCTCCAACAATTCTTTGTTGCTGAAGAAACATCTCATCTGAGTTGTTATCTAGCAACAACAAGGGGATACACCAATGCATGTATCCAGCAGTTCTATTGTTGCATGTCTTCGTTGCCACAGCAACTTTCCCTAGCCATTGCCTAGCAGTGGAAGGAGGGATAGATATTACAGAGACTTTGTCTAGCAATGATAGGAGGGATACACATACAGACACACTGATGTGAGGATTTTATGAAATGTGCTTTTGAGATGGGCTCAGGCGTCATACATATACCAAGTTTCGTAACGACTGGTTCAGTCATACAGAAGTTTATTTGGGCGGGGGGAATTCACAGACACAAAGACAGCATGGAGACTGTGTAAACCTACTTTTATTTTTTGAAAATAAGGAAAGTAGGCTAAAAAGTATTTCTAAAATTTGCAGAGATATCTTAGTGCCTTTTTCTAGAATAATTGTAACCTTTCCATCTAAAAGNGGAGGATTTTATGAAATGTGCTTTTGAGATGGGCTCAGGTGTCATGATATATATACCAAGTTTCGTAACGACTAATTCAGTCATTCAGAAGTTTATTTGGTGGGGGGGGGATTCACAGACACAAAGACAGCATGGAGACTGTGTAAACCTATTTTGTTTTTTCAAAATAAGGAAAGTAGGCTAAAAAGTATTTCTAAAATTTGCAGAGATATCTTAGTGCCTTTTTCTAGAATAATTGTAACCTTTCCATCTAAAAGCCAAAAGTTAATTGATTTTTTGACAGGATTGCTCATATATACTTCCAGTAGTGCTGGCACAGGCTGAGCTTCACTACTGAAACAAGTCGTGTGGCAGATGGTAGATCTGATATTGTATTGTGTCTTCATGAGCCCCACACATCTTGTTATTCTTGTTATAACCTCACAGCCACGCTGAAGGTTGTGTGCTTTTTTTGATGAGAGGGTTGAGATTTTACTCTTGATATATAAAATGGAACTCTCCACATACATAACAGAAACTCTGTGGATGACTGACACATTTGCACAACTTTCTGGCATAAATCAATATTTATGCACTCTCACAAAGATGAAACCTTTACATGTTAATACCATTTCATAAAAATCTTGAATAAAATATAAATTAACTTAGCAGTATTGTATGAGTAACTGACAGACGAAGATCAACATACAGTATATGCCAAAATATGCAGTATTGAAACTCGCACATCTTGAACGCACATGTGCGTTTGTCGATGGGGCATAGCTCCAGCCGCACCTGTTCCCAATAGTGAGAAGGAAGTTGTGTTGNTGGAAAAATATATTGTACTTCTGCATACCTCCAGGAATAAAACTCATAATAAGATGGTGAAACAGTAATTGTTTTATTCATTAACAGGCTACTTTTTATTAGACTGATTTATGAATGAGCTAATCCTTGTTACCCTTCCCACTTCAGAAATCCAGTATATTTCATTATTCTCTTTGACAGTTTAAATTGAGTTTTGCTTTAAAACAATGTGTTGATGTTTGGCAGTAGATTTCACTCATAGGGACATTGAAATATTCATGCCTTTAAGTCTCAACTTTCCTTTCCTCATGCATTTGAGTGTAAAAATTGGTAGTATAAGTACAGAAATCTGGAATAGTTAAGTGAAATAATTTTTTGTATACTTTATATATTTTTGTGTATACTACAATATAAAGAAAATACTATGTATAATTAGAAGGGTTCTATTTTTGTTTTTTATATTTAAAAATAAAATTTTCAGATTCATGCTTGAAGCTCATAGTTTCAAACTTCTTGTAGGTCTCCCATGGTACTGCAGGAGAACAGGATGCTGATTTTTGTGTTCCATCTGATGCTGAAGCTAGTAGTGTTTTAATATATCGATAGAGATTAGTAGCTGATGCTTTATTAGAAATTTAACATGTTAAACATCATAAGAAACAAGACAATTATCTAAAATATTAAAAGGGGAACAAAGAAGAGAGAAATTGTTTCATCTTATTGAGCAGCATGATGCATACAGCAGCATGTTTCTCTATACAAAAGATGTTTCACAAGTTATCTGTCCCTCAAACATGACTAGACACAAAACAAACCTGGACAAAATATCACAAGTGAATTACGTGATATGTTAGTTCAAATAATACATATACATGAGTACCGTTACAATGTGACTCACTGGTGCAAGGAAGGAGCCATAAAAGATGTCTCTGTGGTTATGTCTGAGAAGAACTTAATGGCTTCTGCTTTTCTTCATATGCTTCTATCTGTATCTTGAGGTTAGCAATTTCAAAATAATAATTTACTATTTATTGATCCATTCTCGACAGATTTTTACTAGTACAGGTATCTGTAACATTAACAATGCCACATAATTGTGCATTACAGGATTACAGGATGTAGAAGTAGAGATTCATGTAGAGAATTATTTAAGNAGCAAGGATAAAGCTAATTTGCTAAATTAACCTTGACTTATTGATGATGATAACATTATTTACGGCATTTCAGCAGTTTTGGTTGAGTAACAGAGCATTATGTCAAAGTTAGACAGAAGTATCTAATTTGAACACTGCTATCCATTGTCTTGGTCTTGAAGGTGAAACTCATCAAAGTATGGCAAAGCTTAAAATTATGCATCATTATGACTATAACAATAATAGTGTAAGTTTTAAACAGTTATAATACTTGGTTTTGTTTGGCTGTTTTACTAGTACATCGGCTTGCAGTGCCAGCTTTTTAGAGAGGTTCATATAACATGACATGCAGAATAATTTTTCAGCAACTGTAGTCCCTATGAAGTTGTTACTTTTAAAAATTCAACCACCCACACACTGGCAGTGCTGTTTAGTATTTTATATGGCAATAACTGTGTACCACTTGTTTTAATGCTAAATAACACAACATTTCTTCTTGGAGTTTATTTAATTTAATTTGGTTAGTAGAATACACAGTGATTGTTTTCTTAACAGTTAAAAATTATCTCCATTATCTTTGAATATTGAGGATGTTCACAGTTCAAATCCAAGTTTAAAGACCAAAAAATGTCAACAAAATCAGGCATTTTCTTAGTCAGCTGCCCAGTGGGACCTTACTGTTAATGGAATATTTAATTATGACAACTTTTAAAACCAGCCATAAGCTGGTCATCTATTTTAGAAGTCATCTTTAAGAGGGCCCTCACTGATTTTATATGGTGGAGTATAGACCCGTTGCTAAGCAGTGACTACAAACAACAACCGTTTCTGGGCAACGGCTCGGTAAACACATTCCCGCTGCAACAAATACTTGCACAGGAATAGATTTACTGCTGGAAGCTTGGTGTTTCCACATGGTTCGTGCCAAGATATAAGCAAGGGCCAAAGTCAGTTTTTAAGCAATTCTCCACAGGAGGCTGTGAAGATAGAACCTCAGTGCATGAAGCTAAGAATCTCTACTGTTAGAAGCAGTTGCCAGGGAACGGTTGGTGAAGACACAGCAGACTAGAAAAGTCTTAGCGAGTGCTGTGGTGAATTGTGGAGATTAGGAGTGGCACTGTAATTACTTGTACTTACAAGTCTTGTGTATAAATGAACAATAAATTGAGTCACAAATGCAAACCTAGTCTGTAGTCATAACTACACGTGACAATATTGTTTTATGAAACCATGAATAGTGTGTGACTGTATAGATGTATCGTCTGTAATTTGAATTTATAGTTCAATCTGTAAAAAAATATTCTAGGCGTTCAGGTGGAGCGAATCATAAAATGGCATGGAGCTTACTGGAGGTAAACTCTCATCCTCATGGTGAAGTCTTCAAGGCAATGTGTTGCAAACAGCAATCATGACCAAAGTACCTGTGGTTGAATACCAGTCTAAATGATACATGAGAAAGTTAACCATTGATCATATTGCTTCGGTCTTGGTAGCTGTGCTAGCAGATATGGTGCCTTCTGCAGCTTTAACAGTTTGAGATGTGCCTTCAAAGTCAGATTTAATTCTGAAATGATGAAGGTTAGGTANAAGAAAGTTAACCATTGATCATATTGCTTCGGTCTTGGTAACTGTGCTAGCAGATGTGGTGCCTTCAAAGTCAGATTTAATTCTGAAATGATGAAGGTTAGGTAAATAGTGAATTAAATTGAGGCATAGTACCAGATAGTGGAATATGCGGGATAATAACGTCAAAAGACATAGATGAAATATATAAAGTAATAACAGTTCCGACAGTTTTATGTAGCAATGAAACTTGTGTTAGGAAGAACACTAATATGAGGGAAATACAGGCAGTGACTATTGTAGCGTGTAGAACCGTTGCTATGCAATGACCGTGAGATGGGCGGATATACCGTGAACGTTTCTGGGCAACGGCTCGGTAAACGCATTCCCATTGCTAGGGAGCAGATTCTTAATAATGCAACAGACTATAACAGTGGTTGAGCTGTGTTTTCTACGCGGCCCGTGCCGAGATATTTTAAGCAAGGGACAAAGTCATTTGATAGTTCACCCGTGTGGAGGCGGGGTCGGATACCTCCATCGTGATCCTGCGAGTCGTAGGAGGCGACGAAAAAGGGAAGCCTCGAATCAGACAGTAAAGTATGGTCGCGAGTCCCAGGGGACTCGGACCCGAGAAAGACTGAGCTGGTAAGGGCCAGTAACATATACAAAAGACAGACCCATCCTCTCGACAGAGAGGGCGCCCCACAAAAACAAGACCGCAACTTGTCAAACAGTAATAAATATCTGGCCATGAGCCCCAAATGGGACTCGACACCAAGACATAGTAACCGACCGTCAATCGCAATGTGACTTTGACTTTGACTTTTGCGGGCAGTCGTAAGCTGGAGGAGTGAGTATTAGACGGACTTCACTTGAGTCCCGAAGTTCCAAGGGGACAGCAGTGCGGCCAGAAGAAGAATTAGAGGACTTAGTGTGTGACGTTACATGTGCTGTAGTATATCGATATTGGGAGTTTGTAATTTAGTGAGACTTATAGTTCCTGTTTTATAAGTCCTTGCCAGGAGACGGATAATGAAGACCAGTGGAAACAGACTGAGAAGATTAGCGTGTAGTGATCGTAAATTGTGTAAATCATCAATAGTGTAATAATTATTTGTAGTTAGGACTTGTAGGTGGTTAATAAATCCAGTTACTAATTCGAACCCCGTCTTTAATCAGTAATACACGTGACATAATTAATAGCGAATTATCACCCTCATACTTATGTCCTTCGATTTTAAAATGATTGAACATGTGAATTCGAAATGATGCGGAAGAAAGCGGCCGACCACTTTTTTTGAGCTGATATCTGTGCAATGAGACTGGGAAAATTACAAAGAATGTCGGTCGAATAGCAAAGATTCGCAGTCCATGTCTGCCAGACGTGAAACTGGAGTACTAACCACTTAACTCTGACGACTCTGACGTTCCTGTGCTACCAGGGAAGGGAGTATAAATGAGAGTTACCACCCTGCTTCTATTGTCGAGGTCTGAGGGCGGG